TAAAAAATATAAGTATCAAATTAGAGTGAGAAATGTAATCACTTCTGGAGCTAATATAAACTCGAAGTAGGAGGCTAAACTTTGCTTGCCTGAGGAAGGAAGAGAAATACTTTTAGTCAGAACAGTAATAATGTCTGACATATAATTCTGAAGTAATTTCCTTAGGAATGTGTTAAAACCTGTGGATGGTGGGATTAATCTGGGACTAATACAATCAGTGTCTTCAGAGTTGGGGGTTTATTGAAGAGACTGCCTCTGGGTTTGCAGCCGGTGCCATGGGATGCACTCTGGCTGGGGGGACTAACTCTTAGCCACAGAAAAGCTTACATCTGCACACCCCTGGCTGCTATGGTCTCCAGAAGATTTTCCTCCTATATACCCTTCTGAATGCTGCAAGTGCATTCATCTTGGAATGGACCATTACCGGGTTTTATTTTCTGCCCTGAAATTTTGGCGATCAGAACAGCACTTCATCTAATCAAAACCACTCAGCAGTTTGACAAACTGTAGACAGTTGCAACTACCAACGATAAACCTTTTATGTACAACAATCAGGAGTCCTTCCTGGGTGATTTTAAGGATGGGTGTTTGCCTACAGAGAGAAACAAACAGTGCTTTCAAAACTAAGGGGAAATAAGGGAGTTTGATATTTTGATCTGAGTATTTTCAAACTAGTAGAGGAAAACCTTGAGCTACCTTGTACAATCAAATGCATTTCAAATAAATTGAAGTGAAATCAAGTCCAGGATATTTGTGTAAGGGAAATATCAAGATATTGAAAAGGTAAATACCCATCCAGAATATCTAAAATCAGGGAGAAGGGAGAACTTAGAATTTAACTATGTATGTAAAAGCTTGACATATTAATGATTAGAAGATCCACGATGTGAGTCAGTGTGACGTCCCAGCAATGAAACACCCTCTTGAGTATATTTGATCCTAAGTGTTAGGGCAAGTTCACTACCTTCTGGGTTTCATTGTCTCATTTGCCGAATGATCCAGGGGATTGAGGACAGGTTCATTAGGCAATCTCTGAAGTGCATTCCAGTTCTAAAATTGGAATAATTTATAATATGTCAATTGAGTGGAATTCTTATGACTATTTCTTACATTTGTTTTGTTGCAAGGGGTGCTGTGGACTTTTACATGTGGGTTCAAAGAAAAGTGAGATACCTGGAGAGAAGTGGTTTCTTCTATGAAAACATGCACAAGATTTTCCAAAGAATGTCTTGAGAATATAGTTGGATTTTTGCATTGGTACTGTTTACTTAACCTTGCTTCTCTAATGTGTACATGTCCATAGGTTTCCCCTGGTGGAAAAGAGAAATAAAATAACTTTTGGGGAGATTAAAATCACCACCTGCATAACTGTGTCTTGACACTGGCTTTTCTGACTGTGATTTTGGGAAGCAACCTGGCCTTTCCTCCTTTTGCTCTTCAGTATTTTCCCCTTTTTTTCTCTTCTTGACATTCCTTTCTCTTTCCCTGCTTACTAGATTACTCCTGGCCTCCAGCCCTTCCTCACGTCTCTGTCAAACTGCTGTTGATCCATTCAGCACAGGTTTCTCCTTCAAAAGAACTGTGGCCGATATTGCCCTCTTTCTATACACATGATTCAGCACTGAATTTCATAACACCTTATGTTTTGGGTTTTTTGCCTTCTCTTCCCTCAACTGGTAATATAGTTCTTGAAGATAGCATCATTCTTTCATATTACTGTGTATCCATGTAGAGTGGAGCTTAGAATGTGGCTGTTTCTCTGGGGAGCCTTGACGCTCATTCTCAATGTTCTGAAAACCAAAATGGCATTCTGAAATTCAATTTTAACAGCCATCAGCCAAGAGTATAAAATATAGTCATCAATTCCAGTCATAGGATATTCTAATGCAGTTGAGAGTGTGAGTGTCTGTGTATCACTTTATAAGTAGAAAGAACACCAGTTTTTGTCCAACGCTTCTCTTAGGTCAATGCACAATCGTACTCCACATTGCCTGGGTGCAATGCAAGACCAGCTATTGTATAGTTGATACCACCCTGGAAGGCCCTTGAGGAACGAGGAAGAAGAAAGCAGACTGGGGAAGGGGCTGTAGCAGACATGGCCAAGCATGTTCCTTCCTCTGGCACAGAAGCGCCTGCTTTTCTTCCTTACACACAAAATTGTAACCAGTTTTCTTTTTTTAAAAATAACAATCACCTAGGACTGAGCTGTGGTTTATGATGTGAATATTTTGCAAGTGTGGAGTTTCTTATACTTTGTCCTATTATGTTTTATTTACAAAGGTTTACAAATTTTCTTTCCCATTATTGCTTATGTACTAGTATTTAGGCTTAGCTAGCATATGGTGCAATAACAAATAAACCTTGAAATCCTAAGGGATTAACAAATTATCTGTTTTTCTCTAACTTCACAGTTAGAGTTTAGTGGTTTCCTCAGTGGCTCTTCATAAAGGGACATGGAGACTCAGTGATGATTTGACAGTATATTTTAGAAAAATGTTTGCTTACTCCACTCCCATTAAAGGATTATATAATCCATTTCTTGATGAATAAAACAACTAACAGCATGACTTCTCTTATTTATGCATGCAAATCAGCTCTTCTTCCTATTTTTCCCACACCCCCCAGAAGTTTTCTCACTTGTTCTATCCCTTCATTGTTAAGTAATAATTGCAACAGAGATTTAGGACTGAGCCTGAACAACAGAACTTTCTGGAACATAGCATATGGTCATGTAATCCTAAAATAGAATTTGTGCTCTGAGAAACCTAAGACTTGGCAAAACTGGTCATCTTTTCATCCCAAATATACAGTAGTGTCTGACAGAAATCAGTGACACAGTAAAGATTAGCTCAATGAATGAACTGAAAACTCTTCTTAGTTTTGTCTTTACCATAAACTATTTTTTTTCATTAGTTTACCTGTCTAAAATACGCCCTAGCTTTTCCTGTATTTGCCTATATCTGCAGTGAGTGCTTTGAGACAAAGGTTTGCATTTCATCTACTGTAATTTGACATTAAAAATTGGGGAAAGAAATGGTTTCCAAATTCAGAAATTCACCTTCCACCTTTTTTTATGCTGTCAAAACTTTTAAAATGTAAGTAGAAATTTAGGGAAAGCATCACATTAAATATGTAAACCGCAAAGATTTTAAAAAGAGAACTAGATTCAAGTGACTGAGATAGTTGCTGTATTAAAATCTATTTAGTGGCATTTTTTCAAATGTCACCTGAATCACTCTGTATAGAGTCTTTTCTGTTGCTTTAAGTATTATAGCCTCAGGGATAGTGGAGTTTAGGGACAGTAAAGATAAGATGTAAATTGTGCACAAAAAAGAAGAAAAGAAATGCATTTGTTGGTGGTTTGAATGGACTATTTCTGAACAACTTTTCACCTGGATGGCCCTTCTCAAGTGGCTGTTTCTCTAAAGTAGAAAGTGGGACTCGCAAAACTGTAAATCAGGAATGTACATTTACATTTTGATGATCTGCAAATTACTTATTCACTTGCTAGAGTAAAGTAGATTCATGAAATCAATAAGTTTGTTATTCATTTATGCCTTATACTTCTTTTTCCATTTGGAAGAATCCATTAAGCAAACTCTTAACATTTCATTGAGCTAAAAAAAAAGAGAGAGAGAGAGCATATTTATAGTCCATGTCTTTAGTTTTTTTTCATCTTTGTGCTTCTCTCTCTTGCCTGGGGCTTGCTCAAGGCTGTTTTTCCATTGGTGTGAGATCAGTGGGTGGTCATAGTAATGTCAGTGATAAAGACTTTCTACAGATGTTTGTGAAAATAGGCTGTTAATGGGTCAGGGATGAACTTACTTGATACATTTGTGAATTAAGGACTGTAGGTTCTAATGTATTTTAAGAAAATAAAATGTTGATTTGGAGGTCACCAATATGGAATTGAGGTCATATGATCGATTTCCATATAAAATTAGAGTTTTCCTGATGAACTTCAGTTCAAGCTGTTAATTTGCATCAATATTCATACTAAGTTCAGGTTGTTAGGGGCGCCAAACACTTGCCTCTCAGATGCACTGAGAGTGAACAGGCCCCGAGGAGGACCTGCTGCTTCAACACTAACCCTGGGGACATGCTGTGTCTGTTACATTTTATGTACTCAAAATCAGTTTGTTTGTGGGTAATGAATTACAGCTACGTTGCTATAGGATGTGCTTGAACATTTTCACTTTAATGAGAAATAATTACTGTCAGGTTGTTTCTCAAAACGAAACTCCTTTCCTGATTTAAAGCTATGGACTTTCAAGTTTCATTAGGAGCAGAAACTACACAAGATGCTGACTGTGAGCTTTCAGCACACACCTGAGTTTATGAGAAAATTAAAACGAGAATCCGTTTGAAGTCAGCCCCTGGTTAACCTGGAGGTTTGGAGAAATCGGGTCTCCGTCACACACAGCCCAAATGAAAGTCAGAATTCGGCCTATGTGTATTATTTAGCCCTTTCACAGCTTTCTCTGAATTATAGTCTCTTAATAACCATAGATTTGTGACAAGAACAAAATGTTGGTTTAAACATTTGAAATATTCATTGGGAAAATGAAGGGAGCTGGATATTTGAAATATTTTTTCTATTTTTAATATTGGCTTGTGATTTATTTTGGTTATAATTAACATTACAAAAAAGTCTTATGCATGGGACAGCTCTTGAAAACTCAATATTCACAGAAGAAGCAGAAAAGAGGAAATAACTGTCTTTTACATGTCTGATATTCTGAACACTACATGGTGCACAAAAGCTTACAATCTCACCACCTACAAACTTCTAATTTTTCTTGATATGGTATAAATGTTCATACTGCATGTAGTATCAATAGCTTCTGTTACTGTTTTTCTGGGGAGATTCTTTTTCTCTGTTTTTAAATAACAGCCTTAGTAACCACTACCTGATTTAAATAAATCAAGCTAGAAATATCCTGACAGTGCACCGAACAAGACCTGTGTGTATAATGTGAGTTCTTTCTTTTTAATTTTAGAATCAACCTTGTCCTATGTTAGGCAGCTGGAGGCAAGAGTAAGACAGCTGGAGGAGGAGAATCGCATGCTGCCCCAGGTGGGTGACTTCCAGAAGCTCATAGCTAGTCAGTGTCATTTGAGTTGTAGCATTTTATTTGTAATTTAAAGTCTCAATTACATTTTCTCCTTTAAATGATAGAAATCATTCTGTAAATAGCCATTCATCACTGTGTAGTGTGATTATTTTTCATAATGGCCATCATATTATCCAGATTCTTAAGTGTGGCAATAAAAGAGGAAGATATCTGAAATAAGAATGTAAAATAATTTTGGAAGGAAAAGGGAGAAAAATGAAGACATGTAGAAAGTACTTGGATAGTACTACTCATATACATCACACATGTAGTTGGTGAATATAAAGAAAGGACTTGTATTTAAATAAAAATTTTGCTAATTGTGAAGTAGGGAAAGCTGTAGGTATTTGGGAAATGTCATATTTTAATTAAGTTAGTACATTCTAAAGTTCTTTGTGATACAACTGAACTCTTCCGGTGCAACCACGTGATGACAGTAATGGACAGTTTTTACTTTGGGGCTTCGTTTCTTTTCCCTGGTGAATGTATGTAAAGTGCACTTTTTTTTTTGGAATTTAATGCCTTGCCATGTGTTTTACTTATGAAACTGTTTCAATGGGCTGATGTCCTGGTGAAAAAGATGTGGGTCCTTTGAGGTGGTGGCTCTTGGGAAATGTTCTGTTGATGAGTTGAATAAATCTACTGATTTTAGCTTGGTTTCCTTTACCGATGTGTACACAGTAATGCATTTTAATATTTTATAAAAATGACTTTTTTAAACTTTTAGTTGGTAATGTTCTTTCCACATTTTGGTGATTATTCCTAGTTCATAAGTGACTGAGGGAAAATTAAAACTTAATTAGCTGGTAGACAGTAGTTTAGATGAATGTACCAAGGCTGGTATAATGCAGGAGCAGGCACACACACAGAGTCTTGCAAATACGCTTTGGAAAGACATTTTAGGTCTTCTGAAATCTTTTGTTTTTGAACTACTTTTGCTCATTAATGAATTTGGGCTGTCAGGTACTTTAGATAAGGATGCCTTTCTCTTTCTGCCACTGGCCAACCATCTCACTAGAAATCACGAGATTAAATGAAATAAGTCTACTTATCTCCCTTCTCAAACTATACATGTGTTATCTCTTGACAGAGGGATTATTTATATCATGAAATAAAGTACTATGTATAGATAGTTTTTTCTTTATTATTCTATACTTTTCATTTTTATTTTTTGCCATTTTTCTTTTTATAATGTATTCACAGTGTGACTGTGCTAAGACCCTTGACTAAAAACTTCTTCGTTCCAAAAAGTAAAAAAAAATATGATTATTGTGAACATTATACATGGTTATACCATCTCAGAGGCAACTGGGAGTGTAAATGAAAGAGAAAATGAGATGTTTGTTGGTTTTCCTGTGAGCAGGAATTGAGGCTCACATCGACACTGACATACTAGCATGTGTGTGTATGTTCCTCTGACTGAAAAGAGGAACTACAAATGTGAAAAGGATGACAGGATTGATTTATAAAATCTACAACTGTGTCATAGGTCTTGAAGGGAAATCAGAAGCCTTCTCCTGATTTGTGTGTGCTTATTTAAAGATATAGTCCTTAAATAGTTAAGAGTAGACAAGCTTTTCATGTGGAAAGTGTTCATACATATGCTGTTAAATGCATTGCTATTTTCTGACAAGGAAGTTTTTTTTCCTCCACAAGAAATGTCTAGGGAACATCATATTTTATTGAATTGAAGATGTTACTGATGTGGATTTCCCCTTATCATATGTACCATTAAGAAAGAAAAAGATTCTTGCTGATTTCGGAGATGTTAAAATGGAAAGATGTTTTAGAATTAAACAGCTATTTATGTGTCCAAATTACTTTAATGCAAAGAAAGTCTGTTGCCTGAAATATGATATTGGACATATGCAAAGAATGCAATAGCTCTACCTTGGTTCCAAAACAATATTTCCATTAAATTTCTGTATTTGACAGCGATGCCTTCATTTACAGCTAAAATAGATATGATATGTGTAACACAACGGAAATGAATATAGACCGTGAGAATCATCTAAAGGGCTTCCTCAGTGGAAGTCTGAGACTTGGGCTGGAAGACACAAAGGATATGTAATTTCTTCTTAGATGTCAGTGGGACTATTACAAATAATTATGAGATTTCCCTGAAGAAACTGTTTCTGATTGCATGATGTTAGCTGATTTGCAAGGTCGGGTCAATGCGAGCTAACGCCACTGCATAAATTAGTCTGAATACATGATTTTGAGTTTTAAGAGGTTGCTCACTGCATTGATTAGAAGCTATTCTTTTTTTATTCCCGTTTTTTAAAATATGTCCGCTTGTCTTTGGATAAATAGGAAAAGAATATAGTTGACAATTGGAATTCCAAGTATGTCAGAAATCTTTTGTGACTGTGTCCAGTTTCTTTGCCGATATTGAGTGTTTACACTAATTATATAAAGCATATTCCCAGAGGACAAAATCTCCTTAATGTACATTTTTATGTAAAATTGAATATAATGAACAGAAACTCCTGACTTTTCCTTAGCAATACATATTTTAAAACAAGTGAAGTGAGTATGATAAATGCTGCAGATTTCTCTCTGGTTAGGTGCAAAAGCTTTCATTTCTTAGTTTATAAATGACAAGGTTCCTCCCAGCTCTTAAATTTCGTAGGCCTGGGCCAGCCTAAATTTTGTAAATAAAGCTTGGGTCCAGTCTTATGCAAAGTTACCAAATCCTAGAATGAAAGGGTTTTGTTCAAGAAGAGGTAGAAAAATGTGGTGAAGATTGAGTTGGTTCTGTCTAGTGGTAAAGAGGAGCCCACAGGACGTGTGGGTGGACTGTCAGTATAGACACTGTGGTAGGTCATTACTCAGTGAGCGCAGAGCTCTTTGCTCTGCCCTGGTTTCTAGAACATCCTACTGGGACCATTGAGCTGTACTTTAAGCCTGATGTGCGAACACAATAATCAAATGTGCCCTAAAGAATAGTCTCATTATTTTCAGAACATTTTATTTTGATAAGACAATATGAGATCCATCCCTTTGAAAGATTTTTAAGTGTATAATACAGTATTATTTTCTCTAGGTGTGATGTACATTAGATCTTGAGAAATTATTCAACTGCATAACAAATTTTATACATGTTGATTATCAACTCCTTATCTCCTTCCCCTGCCCCCAGGCCCTGGCAACCACTATTCTATCATTTTATGAGTTTGATTATTTTAGATCTCTTTTATAATTTTAATCATGTGGTATTTATCCATTTATGAGACCTTATTTCACTTGTCATATTACCCCATGATCCAGCAATCTTACCTCTGGATATTTATCCAAAAGAATTGAAATCAGGATCTCAAAGAGACATTAGCCCTCCCATGTCCACTGCAGTGCTGTTCACAAGAGCCATGATGTGGAAGCATCCTAAATGTCCATCAACAGATGGAGAAAGAAAACGTGCATACACATGCAGCGGGATATTCACCGTCCTTTAAAAAGGAGGAAACCCTGCAATATGTGACAACATAGTTAACATGCTTTTTGAAAGTTGGTACAAATGATCACTAATGACCACCTGCACTTAAGGTATTTTTTCTGGAACATGTGGGCTAATGTAAACTTTTAATTTTTTTACAGATTACATTTAAAAACATTTCAAAGAGCTGCATCTAACCTCTCATAATACACATAATGCTAAAAGTGTTCAGACCAATCTGTGAGCTCCCTTCTGTTTATATTTAATGTGATATAAACTCTAAATGAAGATTATGTGTTACTTAAATACATGTAGCTGCTATCTATGAAATTTCACTAACTTTGAAATCCAGTGAGGTAGAGTCACCTAAAATGACATAAGTAGAAATTTGTGAAATAAAGGACCCACTATAGTGTAAAATTATTTTATGGAATTTTATATGAAATTTAAAAAGAACATACCTATTATGTATGTGTATACATTTACACATAAACACAAACTTTCTGTGGGTCAAGAGATCTTCAAAGTTGGATAGAACTTTACATATCACATTGGAAAAATCCCCTCTTTAAGTAAAGGCAGGTAAGGTTCATAGAGGTTAGGAGTATAGTCTAAGACAGGTGATTAAGGGTAGACTGAGGCCAGCATGTAGGCCTATTCAGTGTTATTTCTAGCACACACACAGTGCTTCCTTTAATAACTTTGTGTCATTCATGTAATTCAGTGTAATTAGCCTGTTAAATCTATTTTAATCCCATTGTCAATTTCTTTTTTAAACACATCTTAAAAATTAATAAGGTATCTGCTTAGCCATCTAAGATTCTTAGACATATATTCTATTTCTGCTTTAAGGGAAATACTCTGTTTATTTATTTATTTATTTATTTGTTTACTTACTTATAAATAAAGGGGTAGGGAGGGAGAAAGAGGGAGAGAAACATCAATGTGTGGTTTGCCTCTCATGCATCCCCAGTTGGGGACATGGCCCACAGTAGCCATATGCCCTGACTGGGAATCACACCAGTGCCTCTTTGGTGGGATTGAGAACTGGGAATCAGGCCAGTGCTCAATCCACTGAGCCATGTCAGCCAGGGCAGAAATATTTTATTTTTTTAAAGTCATTATACCCATCATAAATTTAAAAAATGCATTTAGAGAATCTTCTGTCTGCTCTGTGAAAAATCATAGTTTTACTTTAAAAACACATATACTCACATCTGCATTAAAAAAAATCATACTTAAACTGTGGTCAGAGAAGGCCTGTGCTGTTCAGAGAGAGTTGGAGGTAGGTGGGTAGGGGAACAGATAGTTACAAGAGTAGTTTTCACTATATATACCCATGAAATTTGAGATTTTAGATCAAATCCAAAAACCTTGCTTAGGGCTATCTACTTATTCCATTGTCTTTTTCTTGATCACCATGAGGATTTTAAATTCAGATCTAGTTGAGATGTTCATGTACTACATCAGCAATGAGGTCTATTCAACAAGAAAATATCTCTAAGAGTAGATAATACAGAATACCTT